TATATATATATATATTAAAATATTTTTAAAAAATGAATAAAAAGCAAATAAAATTTGAAAACATTTTGAAAAGGTTAGGAAAAAAAAAACATTTTCGGCTTGACATTTTTTTCCATTTAGTTTTGGTTTTGAAATTTTCATTTTGGTGCACCTCTACTTCCAGGCAAAATAATTCATATTTACATTTAGTCAAACAAGTGTTCCATTTATCAAAGTGTCTGAAAGTCTTTTATGCCCAAAACAGATTCTTCCTTTCTTTTACCTTAGGTTTAAAATGGAAGGGAGGATATGATTGGTTACTACTGGCTCCAAAATAAATACAGCCCTGTGGGCCGGACATAGAAGCCCAAGAGACCAGGCAGAGTATAAACGTTGGTTCTCACAACCAGACTCCAGCTATCTTACTTCAGATACAAGTTAGAAAGTCAAAGCAAATATCAAACTGATTGTAACTGACAGTAAACAATACCTGTCCATCCTGGCATAGTCTATTGACTTACATTCTGGATGTATTAGATTCTTTACTGAATTTTAGTTTGGTGTTCAGGTCCGGAGTACTCGCAGGACACACATGTAGTAAAGCTCACATTCTCAGCATCCTAGATGACTGGAATATGGTATTCTCAATCTCGGTGATGTAGGAGCAGACTGGGATCTTGCGATAATGCTGCCCTGGTCTGCTGATCACTCAGTAGCTGTGATATGTGCAGTCTTGTGGGACCATAAGACTGCATCATCTGTGGGCTAACAGCACAAGATTGATATCATAATGGCACCAGATTTGGGAGACGGGGAGGATGCGAGAGGCAGTGCAAAGCAGTTACTAATCTCCTGACATGTTCGTTTCTTGTTGAAAATTGTACATTTTGATTTGCAATTTAAAAAAAATTAAACATACACATATGACTTCCGGTTTGCATTAAAATTGTTATTTATGTTTGAATTGGGTATGAATTATCTGTTTAGGTTTATGGCACACGCACTCCGAGCAGAGTGATTATTTTTTGACTGTAGACCAAATATTTGCCTGACTTTTCTTTGCAGTTTATTTCT